GAGAAAAGCAATCTATTATCTACAAAGGCGCTCCCACAAGGCTGTCAGCTGATTTCTCATCAGAAACTTTACAGGCCAGAAGGGAATGGCATGAAGTATTCAAGGTAATGGAAGCAAGGATCTGAAATCAAGAATACTCCATGCAGCAAGGCTATCATTCAAAATAGATGGTGAAATAAAGAGCTTCCCAGACAAAAAAAGGCTAAGGGAGTTTATCACCACCAAACCAGCAATGCAAGAAATGTTACAGGGACTGCTATAATAATAAGTTGAAATAGAGAGAACAAGAAACAGGCATGAAGAAATAGCTGAATGGATAATAAAACATAACCTAAATATATGCTGTCTACAAGAGTCCCACCACAGAACAAGACATTCACATAGGCTGAAAGCAAAAAAAAAACACCACTTCAGAATGACTTTAAAGAAGAGAGAGACAGCAATACAGTCATAGTAGGGGACTTTAATACCCTACTAACTTTACTGGATAGATCTTCCACACAAAGAAATCAACAAGGAAACAGTAACTCTAAATGACACACTAGATCAGATGAATTTAACTGACATTTACAGAACATTTCATCCCAAAGCTGCAGAATATACATTCTCCTTAAGTGCACATGGGACATTCTCAAAGATAGATCACATGTCAGGACACAAAAGAATTCTCTATAAGTTCAAGAAGATTGAAATCATATCAAGTGTCTTCTCGGAGGACATTTACATCATGGAATATTATGCAGTTGTAAAAAGGAAGGGTCCCTTACCCTTTGAGACAGCACAGTAGGACCTGGAGAGTATTATGCTAAGCAAAATAAGCCAAGGCTAAAATAAAATTACTATAGATTGATTTAAAATTTTACATTTAGAAAAATTCAATGTATTTCACTAAGCTGACTTATTAAGAATTTGGAGGGCAAATTGCCAATTTTAAGTTGTGACTCCAGAGCAGCAAATACTAGTGGCATAGAAAAACAACTTGAAGAGCCAAACTAAGGAAAATATTGAAAAAAATTTTAATAAATTTATTTATTGTATATAACAGGAAAAGTAAAACTGACAGCCTAGGCAAAAAGGTGTGATTGCTGACTTCTGGACATATATTTATTTCAATTCTGCAGTCAACTTATTCCTGTTTTTATATGGAGATAACTTTGAAAACTCAAATGTTTCAGACAAATCAGTGACAAAGGGCAAGACTGCACTGAGTAGTCTGTTGATGTTACCTATTGTATTTAAGCTTAGAACTTGAAATCCCTATTATACTATAGTTCATTACGTTTGTACGTTTATTTCCTATTTAAATCAAGACCTGTGCTATTAAGTTTTGCCATGTTTTTATTTTCCTAAGAAAATATCCAATTTCATAAATAAGAAATTCTCCATTATTGTTCTTTGAATCATTTCTCCTGAACTGAGAAGTTGTTCAGGGTGAAAAAACAATAAACAAATCCATCCCCTTTCTTGAATTCTGGCACTAAAATTCAAAATTTATGGTTATAGTTTTTTTTAGAGAAACACAGCCTTGCCTTGAATGTAACAGCTCAGATTTCATTCAATCATGTTGTTAAACACATAAATGTCAAATATATGACTTTGAGGTCAGGAACACCTGGCATTTGTTTTAACATTGCCAAATTCTCAAAAACATCAGTTATTTGAACAATGACTGAAAAACGGCTGTAGTATATTGTAAACTTTCTCCATGTTCATAAATTATAGAACAATATACAGCTTAAGAGCCTAGATTTGGCATATTTACTAAATATCACTTGATTGTATCAGTAAGTTTACAAAGCCTTCTTTACCACCAAATGCTGAAAATCTAGCATCCTTAAATTTGATCATAACACTCTTTACTACTAATACAAGTGCCAAAAGAGCAATTTGGTATTTTCGTTTTTGGCATATATCTTTCTCCCAGCAACATTCATATTATAAAACTATTCAAGATAATTAAAATGTCCCCACGAGTGGCACAGATAGACAGTAACTTACACAAAAGTGAATTTTCATGGGAAATAAAAATAGAAAAAATTTCAGTTATATCTAGTGATGCATGCCAAAAGAATTACACTTCTATTGCAAACAGATTTTATATCATTTGCCCTATCAATTACTTACTTGATTACAATATTATTTTATTTGTAGTACTTTCAGTCAGTCCTACATTTACTCTATTTATAATTCAAGAACTGATAATATTTTCTAGAATGGTATAATTACATGCTATTGCTATAATATTGCTAACTTAATAACATTTCTAAAAAATTATCTTGATAACCACTCTGAGAGAAATAATTTTTATCATTTCCTTTTACTAGCCCAGCTCTTGAGAACAGGCAAATTTACTAAGTCTCCTGAATTACAAAGTAATGTGTTCTATCACTTTTGCTTACAGGACTACTAATACTGATGGTAATGAATGGTGAATTTTCAGCTTTATTTTCTGTTTCCTAATTATAAAGTCAGTATCTTAAGATTTTTTTTTGTAGATTAAAAAGATAGAAGCAATGAAGCAATGATCTTAACCTCTGACAATACAACTAAAGATGTTATTTTATTTAGCACCAAACTATATTTTAAATTATACAGAACCATATAATTTGTCTATGTATCCAAAAATACAATGTGAAAAATCAAAACATAGCTCAAAAGAAGAAAAAGTGGGAAGAAAAGAAATATGACTATTTCTGAATGTTTTATGTTAAGCAACAGAAGTTTAAGAGCTTTATTTATTTTTAAAAAATATTTCTTTTATTTTTTAAAAATATATCTTTATTGATTTCAGAGAGAGGAAAAGAGAGGGAGAGAGAGCGATACAAACATCAATGATGAGAGAGTCATTGATCGAGCCCGCAGCCCGGGCATGTGCCCTGACTGGGAATCAAACCCTGATCGCATGGATCCTAGGTCAACGCTCAACCGCTGAGCCACGCCCTGCCAGGCAAAAGTTTAAATTGAAAAAGAAACTTAAAAAATATTTCATCTCGCCTGGAGGAGTGACTCAGTGGCTGAGCATCAACCTATAATCCCAGGAGACCACGGTTCAATTTCCAGTCAGGGCACATGCCCAGGTTGCAGGCTTGATCCCCAGTAGGGGGCATGGAGGAAGCAGCCGATCAATGACTCAACAATGATGTTTCTCTCTCTCGCTCCCTCTCCTCTCCCTTATTCTCTCTGAAATCAATAAAAAGAGAAAAAAATATATATTTCATTTCTTTACTCAATTTGTAAAAATGTACCCAAAACAATGCCATTATTTAATTGTGACAGCATCAAATATATGAAATACCAATACTCCACAACTTCTGGAACATCTACATTCCAAAAGTGAATAGCTTGAAAAAAAAAATATCCCTACCTTAAAGAATCAATGGCATTAAAAATATTTAAAAAATTAGAAAAGAGGGCATACATATACAATCATACAGAATCACTGACTACTGTCACTATGTTCTATTTTTCTGGTTATTGTTTAATTTGGAAACATCACCATTTTAGTACCTTAGATTAAAGGGAATTCCAGGCATATTACCTAGAACAGACAACAGAAAGCATACCAACTACGAAACATTGCAAAAGACCCGTGTTTAAAAAAATACTGCAGAGTATCCAAGAAAAAATGTTTGCTTAGAAATTTATAAAGGAGATGAAGAATGTGACATTATATGTGCTTAAAATTTTGTTAAAAGTTAAATATGCCTATTTCTTTTTGAAAAGTGGACTGTCTTCCAGTCTTATATAGTAAGAGTGCAATATCAATTGAAAAGACTTCTTTTTCTGAGACTTAAGTTGAAGAAAAGCTGAACTGGATTCTAAGGGACCAATTAAGAAGCCCAGCCTGGATTATATATGATTCTTTGGGGATTTGCAAATGTTTCCATTCTAGTTTTCCAGAGACAAAAATATAAAGGGAAAAAATTTAAAAAAAGAAGTGACCTGTGACATTTGGCTACTACTCTTCAAACTGGCTCATTATTAAGTTTTCAATATTTAATTGATTTCCACCCTAAAAACTACTTATCAAGTTCAGTAGCTGAGAGACATTATTTACTGGGTCACTAATGCAATGGTATGAGATAATGTAAGAAAAGCATCTCAAATGTTTTCATTTAAAGAGGGTCATCCCTCAACATCAAGAACAGAAACAGCTGCACTTGAGTTTCATTTAAAGACGTAGAATTAGCTCAAGAAATAAATCAAAATGAATCTTTTTGGTAAAGGGTCTCAAATACTTTTAGGGAATAAGAACCTTCTCCATTTACCATAACCTGGATTTGAGATTTTTTCTAGGGGTATAAGATTAATTTTGGCTAACCTGTTAGAATTATTCCCGTAGAACTTACTCGCTTCTCAAAGGTTAAATGACTCAGGGTAAAAATGTTTCATATTCTAAGAAAAGAGGTGTGCATGTGTATGTATAGAAGGAAGGAAAAGGAATTGCCTTCCTGTTTTTCCCACCTCCTGAAGTTTAACAGCTAAATTTTAAGGACTTCACAAAAAAGTCTGAAGTATAACCTAGTGAAATGTAAAAAAATATTAATGAAAAAACAACTTCTTAAATGGAGAGCATACTTCCAATTTATAAAACCATAAAATGTCAATGAACCTGAATAATGATAATAATAATATTACTTATATATAAATTCCTTTAAAAGAAAAGGGTGTAAAATTGTGATTCTCAGATTTAGAGATGCTAGAGCCTAGCTGTAAGATCCTTTCCCAAACAGAAAACTTACCTATGGCTGCCCAGTCGGGGTGGCTGAGCAGCGGAGCATGGACCTATGATCCAGGAGATGGAGGTTCAGTTCCTGGTGAGGGCACATGCCCGGGTTGGGGGCTTGATCCCCACTAGGGGTCGTGCAGGAGGCAGCTGATCAATGACTCCCTCATCATTGATGTTTCTATCTCTGTCTCCCTTTCCCTCCCTCTCTCTGAAAACCAATAAAGACATATTTTAAATAATAAATAAATAAATAAATAAAAAGAAAACTTACCTATGGCATTCTTCTTTCTCTAAATTGGATTAAATAAACACCAAACTTCAATGTGTAGAGAGGGTAAGGGGAGGTTAGCAAGTTGTCATTCTAGGATGGCAAAAAATTAGAAATAAAGGAAATGACATCAAACAGTAACTTTTTATAGCAATGGTAGAGGGGCTGCGAGTTAATACTTACAAGATAAGAATTGAACTAAGTATGGGGCTGTTTTATTACGGTCTTCATTTTATTGTTATCAAACCTAGGAAAAAATAAAAGTGAAGACTTTAAAAATTTGTTCACATTATATAAGTTAGAAAATTTTCAATTGAGGTTGACAGTTTTCTGATCCCTATGAAGCAAAGAACAATCACAGACTATAAAATCCAGCAGCAACATTTCTATATTTCAGTCCAGAGTATTACTTTTTTGTTGTTGTCAATCATCACCCAAGGATATTTTTTTTCACTGATTTTTAAAGAGAGGAAGGGAGGGAGGGAGTGGGGGAGAGAGAGAGAAACATCATGTGAGAAAGACATGTAGATTAGATGCCTCCTGCAAATACTCCTACCCAGGCAGGGATGGAACCTGCAACCTGGGTACCCTTGACCAGGAATCGAACCCTGGCATCCTTGCTCTGTGTGTGTGCACGCACTGGGCGGCTTGGGGAGAAAGGAGGTGACTGATGCTCTAACCACGGAACCATACTGGCCAGGGATTATTGTTAGTTTTTGAAACTCACTTTTCTATTACAAATACCTTCTTAAAGTTTAAAAGTCAAATATGTAAGTGTAATTAAAACTCATTCTTCAGTGTCTAACTTGAAGCACAATGAGCTTCTGGAGAACATCATAATTATAGATATTTTAAGATAAATTCAAGATCATACTGCAAGATTGACCAATCTCTCTCTCTCTCTCTCTCTCACACACATATACATACATACATGCTACTGCAAAAGCTAAAAATCTACATATTGCCCAATTTCAATAATTCTATTATGAATACAAAGGTGAAGGTGGAATTAAAAAATACATAAAGAAATCTTTGAAAATAATGTTATAATCTATGGCCAAAACAAAAGGAAATGGAGTTGTGAAATTGTCTGAATTCAAGAGTAAAATGAAAGAGTAGTGAGAAGAATAAGAGAAATTATTTTCATGGTTCTTTAATTTTAAGAGTAGGAAGGATTAAAAGCCAGTACACAAAAAAGGAAAACATTACATCTTATCTTTAAAAATAAAAGAACTGAAAAATATCCTGGAAACTTAAGTTGGTTAAAAGGTCTGACTTCTATAGTACATATTATAAGTTGTTCTTACACCAACTAACAGTTAAGCACTTACTACAAATCATAGAATAGAGAGAACAAACCCATCAATGCTCTTAATGAAACATTCATTCCAATTGTACATCTTACTGTAGAATGTCTTCACCGCCCCCCGCAAAAGGAAAGGACTATTGTTTCATTAATTTGAAAAACAAAACAAAAACCCCAAACATTTTAAATCCAAAGAAAACCCAAGATAATACCAAAATGAATCTCCACGTCTTAGCCCTGGCCCTCCAATCCAGCTGTATTTAATTCTAAGATTCTGCCATGCTTACTTTGCTTAATTTTTTTTAAAAAAAGACTACACATAGTTGAGTCCCTTTTGTACCATATCCTGGTCCCATTCACCTCTCTCCTGATACAATCACAATCCTGAATTGATTTTTATTTCCTAAGCATTCTTTTACATTATTACTATAGATTCAAATATTTAAAACAGTATATATCACTGTTTTCAAGCCTTATAATAAAAATTTACCATGCCATATATATTTTATATAAATGTTGCTATATTGTATATAACCTTTTGCAACTTATTTTTGTCATTCATCCATGAATACACACAGCTCTCACTTAAATAGCAGTATAACAAAGAGTTCATCATATGATTATGTCACAATTTACCATCTCCTGTTGGTTAACATTCACACTGTTCTCAAATTTTTTCCTATTAAAAGTAAAAGTAAGTAAGATTTTTTTCACACCTCTTAGTTTATCTAGGACATCTCAGAATGGAATTGTTGGGTTCAAGCCTATGTATATCTTCAACTTTACTAGAATTTTGTCAAATGCTCCCACAAGCAGCATGAGAAAAGTTCCCCTTTCTGTATTTTCTCCAATATTTAAAACCACATTTAAGCCCGGCCAGGCGTGGCTCAGCGGTTGAGCATCGACCTAGGATCCAGGCAATCGGAGTTCGATTCCTGGTCAGGGCACATGCCCGGGTAGTGGGCTCGATCCCTAGTCGGGGGCGCGCAGGAGGCAGCCAATCAATGACTCTCTCATCATTGATGTTTCTATCTCTCCCTCTCTTTTCCTCTCTCTGAAATCAATAAAGACATATTAAAAATAAATAAAAAATAAAACCACATTTAAGAAAAATAGCTACTATGTAGATGAAAATTTTAAAAATTCTTAAGTGATCAATTCATCAAGTGTAGGTATACTAAGTGTTCCAAAGAAAGAGAATAGACTAAAATTTGGCCCAAGATACTTGCACAAAAATAAAGCTCACATAATACAGATTTTCTTCACATAATTGAAATACCAAGACTTAATCTATAACTACTGTGGTAGAAATGACAGGATTCATAATTAGTTATTGAACTTAGATAAACAATGATCAAAGAGAAAAAAAAGCAGAAAATATAAATGGTTTATTGGTGTGAAGAATCCTCATTTCATTTTGGGCAGTGCTTCTTACATGTGGTGCTTCTAAAAACAAAACAAATAAACAAAAATCACAGCTTGGAAAAAACTCAAATTCCTGAGCCCCAGCTCTAGATTCTGATTCAGTAGGTGTGGAAAATGTTTTATTCTAGGTTATTCTGGTACAGGTAGTGACAGATACTTTACACAATAATTAGCAGTAAAAATAAGATATTTTCAATATAAAGGATTCTGGAACTCACTTTCTGGTTAAGGGTCATTTAACAGTACTTAATGCTATCTGTTAAATTACAGTATTAGCCAAAAAAAAGTAACCGCAATTTATGGTTGAAGATGTTGGACTTCACAATGTTAAACCAGGTTATGGGCTCATTTATCATTTCAGATAACCAAGCACATAGTACAACAAAGCTTTTTTGAATAATATTGGCAGGGAACTAATATTCTTAGTTTACTGTAATTAGTAAGGGAAAACATTAAGAGTAGAAGTAATTGGTTTTCATTTTAATGAAGATGACCAGGGAAAAACTATGGTTACCTTTTAAAAGAAATGCTACTGTAAATGTCAGACTTTAAATTAAGACATTAGGCTCTTAAGCTAAAATAAAATGTCATTTGTGGTTTCCAGCAAGAATGTTACAAATGAAATCAGAACTTTAATAGAAACCCAATATTCCCTTCCCTGTAATTACAACCTACTGGAATTATTTAGATACAAAAGAGAAAAATGTACAGATATTTAGGTGATGTAAATCTGTGCAATTCGAATTGTAAAAATAAAAAACACTCGTTTATACTATTTGAAATTACAAAGTCCTATTGCCAAAAGACTTAGAATAATCTGCATTTTCCAGATATAAGATATTAACAGTGAGAAAAAGTAAAGACTTATGAGTTTCTAACTGCAGCGTCCTTTGTATTAGTTACATACAATACTAAGTAGTATAGAGTGGTGTGCTTTTTAGTCATAGTGAAACCAACAAGAAGTTGGCCTTGTTTAGAATGGGCTATATAAAACAAAAATATGGATCCCAAATATGGCCCCAAAGCAAAAGAAACACTCCTATGTGGCCACTGTCAACTTTTCTTTCCTCAATATTAGCTAACTTGTGTTATTAGCAACTAATTACTAATTGTTCCAGTTTACCAGCTTAAAAGTGAAAAACATGAAACACAATACACACTTCCAGAAGACAGGTTTCCATTCAGAGGAAATTAACTGAATAAAAATTACATTAAGTAAAACCAGAGTAATAGTAAAAAACAGTAAGTCTAAAAACTATTAAGTATCTACTGTTCTCTTTATGCTCTTCTGGAAAGATGCCTTTTTGTCAAAGAATATATTATACTATATATGAGTTACACTGACAATTGGGCCCTTCACACCTTGTCTGTAAAAACTGGTGGGTGCGGGCTCTTTTGGCACCATTATTGCATATTTGATGTTATTATGTACAACAGCTGAGTAGTAGCAGCAATCTCCCAGCCCCTGTTCCCAGCTGTAAGGGACAAGAACAAGGGCTGTGGTGACACTTGTTTATTCACTGTTGCTGCTGCTCAAGCAGCAAACTGAGAAAAGTGTACACAACTAAGAAAAAAAAACGGTTCAGCCCAACCTACCTAACAGGTCTGCTTACATCATTATACAATACATTTAGAAGGAATTTTTTTCTTTAAAAAGCGGGACAGGAAGAGGAGAAAAAAAGACAAAATTGGTGTTTTGATTAGAAAGGAAACCTATAATGTATCTAAGGAAATAAATTAATGAGAACTTCTAGTTTAGATTTAACTGCTCAATTATCAAAATTCTCAGATTGTTTTATCCAGGTTCAGCATAAATTCATAAAGAGTATTTTCCCTAGCTATTCTCCTGGAATATAAGAAAGTATCTAAACTTTAATCAGGAAATAAAATTAAAAAGCTCCAGGCTCCCAGGTTCCACATATCTAATCACTACCACATGTTTGACATCAGATACTATTCACACAAAAAAATGATTTTTTAGCCTATAAAGTTTTTACAAAAATTCCAACTATTAAAAATTATTACATGTAATTTACTTACTTTAAATGTGTAATACAAAGCTAAAAACAGTACATAATATTAATGGATGACTAACAACAGAAATAAATTGTTCCACCAAATCACCTTTAAATTTAAATGTGATGTTATTTATGAACTTTAACACCTAGGGAAATTTTTGATTCTAAAAAATATTTTAAAAATCTGAAAAATTAGGAAACCTATCAATTTTTTTTGTAAGTGCTAGAATGGCAATAAATTTTAAGAAATATTTAGCCAAAAAGGCTAGGTTTGATATTTCTTAAAATAAAAGTATAAAATACAGTAAATTAAGATCATAATACTTTATAAAAAAAAAAAACCCCAATCTTTTATTTTCCTCAAAATTGCAAACGCAATTTTTCTGCTTAGCAGCTCGATAATAAATAATACTAATAATAAAAATAAAAAATAATAATTCTGAGGGTCACAGGATAAAACTTCTAAATATATGTATTATAAAAGCTATATAATAAAAAAGAGCAAATATCAAAGGATGTTTAAAATTAAGACATTTACAAACTAATAAACCAATAAACCATTAACCAGAAGATTAATCCGTATCAGCAGGTACATTTGAAACATGCTGCATGTTTCTGTTCCAAGTGAGTCTAACCATGAAAATAGGAAAGTAAAACTAAGCGAAATTATATGTTAGTGAAATATCAAAAATGTGGTTTGTGATACTGAAAACTTAAATTCTACTTCAAAGTAATATTTAATTAAAAAATTTAAATCCTCACATTAAATACTGCCTTTTGAAAATGCTTATCGGAAAATGTAATTCTGATGCATTATGTCTTATTTGAAAAAAATAGAAATAGATCAAGGATATACTTGCTAGTCAAGAAAAAATACACAAAATATACTCATGCACAAAACTGCTTCAAATAAACATTTTAAAAACTTTTATTAAGAAAGATAACTTTATCTACTCTTTAATGAATCCTCAGCAACACTATAAAACCTCTATTAAGGCAAGTTGTTATAGCTAACAAATTGCTTAAGATATAAGTTGTTCTTATAAATTAGCATTATACATCAATGACAAATAATGAATAACTTCAAGTCCCTTCATATACAGATATGTTAAATTACCTCTATTCTAGTTTATCCAAATATTCTTCCTCCCCACCCAAGGATAACTATTTCAATAAAATAGGAACACTGACAGTATAACTGTATTTTAGAAACAACTAAGAATTTCTCCTTAAAATAAATGTTATTTAACCCTAAAAATGCATTTAACAAAAAATATAGATATTTGCACAAGTAAGATAAATATTTATCACTGGAAAAAATAACAGTAAATTCTTCCCCAAAATTCTGGCACAATGAAGTACAAATCAAGGCTTAGTCAGATATAGATAAGGAGGTCTGCAAATTTACAACAGCCAAAATCCTTACAAAACGTCCTTTAAGGGATAGTTAAAAGATAGCCAATCACACTTTGCAGTAAAAAACTTTATTACCATGTCTCCTAAAATAACACATACTACAAATTACAGTTTCTCACCCTATATAAGAACTGACCAAATACAAGAAAACTATTAATATCTGCATCAATTCTTTCAGATGTTAAATTATTTCCTAAGCTCAAAATCTGGAAATTTATAAGCCAGTATATAGAGAGAACAATTTTATGATGCTAAAAATTTGTGTCCAAACAATAAGTTTTGACAATTTCAAAGAACACAAATCATAAATTCTCTAAATTAGGAACAACTCTGTGCATTTATGTCCTTATCTACAATATAAATGTAAAAGCTGTCTCTCTTCACCCATTTAATTTGATAAGGCTGTGTGTGTGTAAGATACCTGGATTGAAAGTGATAAATTGAACCTGGATTTTTTTCCCCCCAGACACTCAGAAATCATATTTTAAACTTTTCATCTTAATATTCTTTAATCTGGAAAACACTGGTTAAATTAGAGGGGAGAAAATTTTCATTCTCTTCCTATTCAAACTCAGCTGCTTTTTCCTAACATTCTCAATTCAAAATTTATCTCAATCACTTATAGCATAATGACATCAACACCTGAATTTCATCCTTATATTAAACTAATTTCTGTTAACTTTTAACATTTTATTTAACTTTAACTGTTTATCTATCTAATATCTACTAATACAGAAACATCCAATGTTAGTTTAGCATTTTGATGTGTCTCAATGTTCAGAAATTCTTAAACATACATCTGAGAATTTTCTTTAAAAATATTTTAATACTGTTTAAAGATACTGTTTAAAGATAAAAGCAGTTTTATGACCATGATAATTACACTTTACTCTTAAGACTAAATTACACTTTTCTAATGAAAACAAATCCTTGTAATTTCCTATATCTAAAGTATATAAAGTAAACATTTTTAGGTGAAAAAATATTTAAAGAAAAATTGTAGTACGTTATATTTCAGCAAACTTTATGTAGCAAGTAGTTTTTTTAAAAAATCATACTAATTCTGTTCAAGAAGTTCATTTTCATTATACCAGATTACCATTTAGAAAACAATCAAGAATTTTATTGGCTAAGTAGCCACAATTTTCAACTAAAACTATACAAATCAAAGAAAATAAATATGCTATAAAAGTGGTTCTGTTGTAAAGTTTTCTGGAGGAAAAGACAGTAAGTCACTAGAAATTTTGGCAATCTACGATTTGTTTTTAAAGAATTTGCAACTTTTCATATGAACAATTTAAATCTTTTACTTGGAGTACCCAAGAGTAAGATACTACTTTCTGCTTAAGAAAGTGGGTTTTTCAGTTTCAACCAAATTGCCACTTTTAGTTAGGATACTAGTTGGAATACTTTAATACTCTTAAAATATTCTCATTAGTTTTATCTAATTTTGTAGGCTCTACCTACCACTAAACCTGTTACACAGCCAAGCAAATTCCATTTGATTTAAACCTTTTTTTGTAAGATGAAAAATCCACTATTTAATTCTTTTACATATAACACTATATCAACAACCCTAAGAGGAAAAAAGAAAAATCACTATTTATACTTATTTTTAGACTAAATAAATTCAGTTGGAGTTGGACCTAATACAAGATGATAAGAACATCAACTATATAAAAAAAATCTTGAGTTTTAATAAACAAGAACATTCAACCTTGGCCACTTAACAGGATGATTTTTATGTATTACTAAATCTTCAATGATTTTTAGCTTACCTAAAAGTTCTAGCTTTACCAATGGTCTAACCCAGTTATATTGCAAAGATATAAAATTGTATGCTTTTAAAATTCATTAGTATACCTTAATCTCCTAACATGTTCCAATGCATTATGTGAGTGCTCAATCAAAGAAGTTAGGTTGTTCTCCAGAATTGGCTCTCTCCTAAAGGTCAAAACCTGCAATAAAAATGTCATGTATTATAGCATGAAGACACTCAACAGATTTCCCCCTCCTGCAGTTCCACAGTGGATCCCTGAACACAGAGGTAAGGTCTTCAAAATGACCTCAATCTTGCCTATGTTAAAAAAACACACACCAAAAAATACTAACTTGAAAATAATGTTAAATAGAAATAGCTTGATTAGAAACACCTGTGATATGTTTTGTCATTCAAAGCCTCTTCAAACAATCAGATTAATATGTTTCTGCTTTCAGTTCTCTTTAGGGCATTCATTTTCAAAGCAGTACAGGGGTAGGGGTGGGTGTGGGTGTGTCTGTGTGTGTGTGTGTGTGTGTGTGTGTGTACACGTAGGTGTTAGAGAACTGGTAAAGCGGACTCACAAGGAAAATACCAGAGATATAGTTTGTCCATGCTTCTGAAACTTATAAAACCAAGTTTAAAAAAATACTTAAGGGGTGGAGAGAAAGTTTTAACTACCTTTCTCCCCAAATTATCAGACTTTTTAAGGATGACAGAAATTACCATTATTTCCAACTTTTGTCTTTTGCCATGCCTGAGGGAACAATAATATTGATTATTTCCAAATATTTTAAAACATTACAATTCTAACAGAACAAACTTTAGAATATACTCTTTAAACAAATTAAAATATAAGTAATAAACATATGAATATTGGGCCAATGGTTTTTTAATGTTTCCAAGCAGAGGTGGTGTAACCAAATGTATATAAGTAGCTTTTTAATTTGTTTCACCCAAATCTTAATGATTTAGTGGCTATCAATTATATAAAAATATTAATTGTTAAACTACAAAGATTTATAATGTATCGTATGTGAACCATAATGCTCTGAGTTAGCCATTATTATTTAAAAATAGCTTAGGAAAAGAAATAAAAAACAAATAAACCTTTAATCCTCTGCTGCCAAATATTTGATTGTTTAATGGCAAAAACCACACACATAACCCACAAACACCAAGTACTATATTTTTTAAAAATTAAAATCATATCTACATAGTCCTCCCTCAAAGATATAAACAAAGTTTTCCATACTTGAGCACTCTAAAAATAAAAGTAGCTTAACTTTAAAAATCACAGAAAGAAAATAGTAGATACCAATATGTACTCCATGCCAAATGTTAAGTTTTTAAATATTAGGAAAACAAAAACATGCTAGATAATAAAAAACAAAGGAAGTTCAAACACAAGACAAATATATTAAACCAAATGAGAAAAAAAAGATATAAAAAAATCTTTAAACAGGAAAACTCAAATCTCAAATCTATTACAAAATAGTTTATTATTTACACTTAGAACCCATGTCTTTCCAGTGCAAAAATTCTTTAGTAAAATGAGACAGGATTAAACAGAAGTATATTAAACTGATAAGAAATCTTTAGAATAAATTCATATGTATTTAATATCAATTCTAATATTTGAAATTTATCTTTCTAAAAGGAAGATCTTTTAAAGCATCTCTAAGACAGTCAAGGGGGGTAAAAAAGCAAAAGGAAATCATTTCCCCAACAAAAAGCAAAATGTACAGGAAGGCTTTACAGTCCTTTGTATATGCAAATAATCAGACAAATATATAAACACATATTAGTAATGTGATATTCTAAAACTGATGTTACTCTTATAATATTAAGACAATCAACTTTAGAGCTCTAATAGTAATTTGTAAAAAATGCAAAACAGCTTAATCTCATTTTTGAAATTTATTTCAAAGAAAGAGGTAGTTTATTACTGATTTCCTTTGGTCTTAAGAGGGGCTACAAATTTCAGCAAGTCATAGTTTGAATTCTAATTACATGTCCAGATTAGTTGTCTGGCACACAGCTAAGCTTGCTGAATAATAATAATAAAACAAAATTGCATGTACACTAATAGTCTAAAATATGACAATTCTTTCTAACACATGTTTTCTAGTTATAATCAGATTAATAGTTTCTTTTAAAAAGGGGTTAAAAAGAAATGAGGGGATCATTATGCTTCATTAAACAAAAGAAATAAAAGATAAGAGCCAATTTTAGGCTGCTAATTTTTTAAAGAGACAAATTTTTGTAGAATAAAATTTCAAAGATTTCAAAGTAGTGTGTAAATTTATACTCTGATTTTTTTAATTGGAAGAAGTTTATGTATCATGTAGAAGAAATACCTAACACAGTCTTCTGGCTATTTTGTTTTTGTAAACCCAATCAACTGATCAATATTTTTGGACTAAAGTATGTTGTTACATTCTGAACTATTACTATATACCAATAAATAAATAAACAAACAAAAAATATATATGTAAGTCTCCACAAAACAAAAATGTAGTATACAAAACATGATGATACAAGAAATCCAAAATATGAAAGTTATTTTGAAATTTTCATCTTTAGCTCTAGTAGTTCATGATAAACATTAAAAGTGATATTAATCTGATTAGAAAAAATACAATGTTATATACAAACACCTGAGGCTACGTTTTGTAAATGTACAACTAAGACAGTTGACAGCATTAAAACAAAGTCTAAAACTGCACTTTTATTTGGATTTTTAAAAATAGTAAGGACAAAAATGAAAATCAATGCTACCAGAAAGACTGATACCTTCTCTAGTTCCCTCTCCCCCTCAATATATAAATATAGCTTCAAAAAAGAGATGAGCTACTGTAGCAACACTTTTCTCCACCATTCTTTTCCTGTGGTATTAAGACTTTTCTAGTCTTTACAGTACAATAGAAAATAAATTATAATTATATACATAATATAGTAATCATATGCATCTGTTGGAACTCAGACCTATATGCCCACAAATCTAAAACGAAAATCTTCCTCTTATCTACCATTGCATAAAAGGGAAAATATTTTGAATGCTGTGGATTTTATTTAGATGCTAGTGTGTTTTCAAGCTTTAAGTGTAGTGTTTTAAATAAAGGAATTCTTCACTTCTTTAAAAAATGGCTTATTAAGCAAAACAATCCTTCACCCATCACCCCCAAAACAAACAAAAACTATAAACCAAAGCACTAAAAAAGTATGGTTAAATTTAACCAGCCTGGTGGAATTTGAAAGCCTTCCCCCACCCTCAAAATTCTCCAAGTCACATAATTTGAATGGAAATTAAAACACAAAAAGCAAAACAACAGCAACACACAACCCACTAGTCCTGGTATCATAGATAAAATTACATTAAAAATAGAAGTTTCCTATAATTTCATCAAGTCAAATTTAATAAAAGATCGTATTTTCTATGAAATTTTCAAGAGATGATTGAAAATAAAACAGCTTTTTTTTTAAAAAAAAATGAACACAGGTTCTGTGCAATTCTTGTTATGGAGGCAATACAAAATAGTACGATTTATAAAATCAGTCATTCCACTTATTAATATAAATTATATTTACAGCACTGCAGAGACTTACAAAAGTCATGTATAATCTTGTCATTTGAATATTTCCTAACAACGCATACTGGACCTAATGTGAGAATACAGACTCTAAGTTTCGAAATTTTAACTACTATTCATAAGATAGATTTCTATAAAATTAAAAAAACTTTAAAAAGATTAACAGCTATCTTGTTTATCAGTGAGTTTACTGATTTTCTTTGAAAACCACACCCGACTTTCATCAAGATACAATTAAACAGAATGACAAGCATGGTAATAAACAGAAATATATTGATGGCTGTCTCAAGCAACGTTTAACAAAAACCAAACTAAAACCAACTAAATAAAACACACCATATCCACTGTTGTATGCAATATTTTCTTCATAATAAACTTATCAAAGGAATAAAATCATATATACGCACCTGTGCATACTTACCTGTTGTATTGTGTAAATTAAGCAACATAAATTTCCTGTAAATAAAGTTTTAAGCCCACTGCAACGGCTGAATTAGGAAAACCTATATATTTCAAAGATGTGGAAAGTTTTAAAAATATATCCAATTTTTGTAAAAAAAAAAAAATATGGAAAAGTTTTTCAACATTAAGAAAATTAAAGTTTCTTTTTATTAAAAAATCCCCCAAACAAAAAACAATTCTTTTGCAATCTGCATGTAATATATGTAGCTTAAGATGAAAAATTTGACAAAAGAATAAAAAAATCTTAAATGCTTCTCAGTTTTTAATCAATAGAGAACAGAGGTAAATATATAAAAGTCTTGTAATTTCTGCCAGCAGAATTACTATTTTACGAAAATTGTCTCAATTTTACTTTTAATAATACATTTCAGAATCATTCGAAGTTATTTTGTGGAAAAAATTAAACAGCAACTTTTTTTTTAACTCCTCGTATTAACGTTCTGTAATTATTTCCGTGGTTCTCTAAAAATATAATTTTTCGTAAAGTCGAGAATTATAATCTAGTGTTTAACATTCAAACCCCTCAGTCCGCTTTCTTCCAGCCAATCAGGGGATAACATGTCCAGTGTTTTGGGAGCTCCGTTAGACACAATTTGAAAAACGTAACATTTCGTTTTCCTACTCTCTTCGGAAAAAGATTTTAAGTGAGGGCGGGTCCCCGGTCTTTACAGAAAAAATAAATCAATCGTTACATCAATTTTAGGGAACAGGGGAGGGGACTTTACGCATACAGCCCAGAAGCGTGTGACTGCGGTTCCCTGAAACGTTATTCCTCCAAGCGAACAATCGAATAGCTGTTGCAAAAACCATCTCCTTAGTATTTGCAATTCAGAACCGTGCGTTCCACACGCAAAACATCACGCCTGCAAAGAGTTAACCTAGTGGCGCCTACGCCGCAGAAAAGGATTCCAGATCCAATGTATTTACAAAGGTCATTATCTATAAAGTATTACTTAAAGCCGTCCCTGGCTCAAATCATTCGAGCTGTGGAGTAAGAATTGGTAGAATCTGGGAGCTAAAAAAAAAAAAAAAAAAAAAAAGAAAAAAAAAAGAATATATCTAGCTCTTTGGACAGATTAATTTATATTTTCACTGTACATTTAATCCATGTTTCGCTGCAGTAAGCAAGCCAGAAGATCTGATCACTCTATCGTTTTATATTCTTTACAAAAGCTGATAAGTATACTCATTGTAAATCTTATGTTAGCTGGCAGAAAACACAGCTCCGAGCTGGCCAGGCGGCTGCTTATAAGATGTTGGTAAGTTGCCAGAAGGGGCAGGATAGCTCTTCTGTCCTCTGCTTCCCACCCCAGTTGACAGCAAAAGAGAGAGATGGCC